GCGCGACGACTAAAAAAGTGGTCGGCGACTCGGCGATATGTAGACTACGTTTGAAATAGGAAAAGACGATTTTAGGCTACTTAATAAAATGTCTGGGGACTCACAACCGCCGGACATTGGGGAATATGAAATCTCTTATTTCCCCTATGTCCAATAGGGATTTTATAGCTTGGCGAATATCGGCTACTTAACATACATAAATTGGCGAATTAACTTCACAAAAGTCTGGCAACACTGCTGTTCGCTCTCTTTCTCTGCCATTCTGCCACGTTCAATACTCGTACGTTTATATAATTCAATTTCCTATATTTTACAGTGATCAATTCTAAAACAATATTGTATGGAACAAAATAATGGTAATAAACAAATTAGGATCAAAGATGCTATTTGATTTCCGCCGCACCACTAACATTGTTCTCTGCACGATCACGCCTCATGTCTTCCGCAGTTCCTGGCCTCAAGTTATTTTAACAGGTCAGTTAGCGTCAGGTCAAAGTGACTACGTTTTGTAGAGAATAGACACGCTTGCGTTTTGGTAGCGTTAAAATTGACAAGATTGGCATCGCCCCATTCGGAGACTGCCTCTAACGACTAACCATGGACTCTCGACAAGACTGGATTCTCCATTGACCCGTGGCCATTATTGCCTTTCTGTAAGCTGGAATCAATGATGAATAAGAAGTTTATAACGTTCGTGATACATCAAACGCGTGCGAGTATTCCTACCTAGGTAGTGGTACGTGTCTTTACGCGTGGGTTTTAGCAGTTTTACGTGCAATTATGAAACCAAACACAAGCCCTGTTTGGAACTATAGTATTTGGACAACCGTTAAGATTTACTTTTGACATTATAAATAAAACAACAAATTCTACTCGTTACTTTATTAACGTTTAAAATAAATAAAGAATATTAAGATTGCAAAACTGTTACTATAAAATCAAAAAGTATTATATTAGTTATTATCAACATATTTTGTGACATCAAATTAAGATAAAAAATGAGGATTCTTGAAGTTGGATCCGCAATAGCTCCCTCTCCAGTCGCAACTAGCTTCCAACTTGAGCTACAGCTCTTGTCAAACTTGTTTTATCAAGTATCAATTTTTATATAAAAAAGTAGAAATACGAGGACTATAATAATTATAGTGGACAATGTTCACATTCAAAGATGAATAACAACTAACTTTCTCAGATAAGACAAAAATGTCACACACAGCACTTGCTTAATGAGAGGGACAACCGCTATTTGGAACGAGAAATAATACGCGATTAATCGCATTCGAACATCATGACAGTTAATCGCAATCAAATGTCATGACATGACACGTAATCGCATTCAAACGTCATGAGACGTTTAAAAGAGGTTTGCATTTGATCATTCTGTCTCGGTAAGGATAAAAATGTCAGTTATGCGGCAGTGAATATCACAAGATTTTCAAAATAACGTAACAAAAATTACGACGTATTTTGTGACATCAATTTTGTATAAACTACACTCAATATCTGCTCTTGTTCCTTCGCGCTTAAATCTTCACATGTACACCCTATGGCCTTTTCAAAGTGTTTAATGAACAGTGGCATAGTTTTTTCAACGGAGAAATCGAGACCAGTCTCTTTGGTAATCGAAGTGACACCTTTGTCGTCAAATCCACATGGGTCTATATGGTCGAACCAAGATAAATCGTTGTTGCAGTTAAGTGATATACCGTGTGTTGTTACATACCTGAAAACAAATAGTACTTCTTGTGAACAAGAGGGAGTTTAGGAAACGAGCTGACAGGCGAGTTTCATAACAATATAAGTATTGTATTTGGTTTTCAACGACTTTTTTTATATTTATATAGGTTTTATTAATTTTTACTATTCTGCACACTAAGATCATAAATAGTTATAAGCCTTATAAAAATTTCAAAACCAACCGTGACGCATGAATGCCAATAGCAGCAATCTTGTTATCGTCCACCCAGACACCTGTATAAGGTGACCGAACTGCTTTTATGCCAAGTTGATCACACAATTTGATCACAGATTCTTCTAAACTCTGGACGTACCACTTCACACTTGTATAGAAATGTTTTAGGTTGAGGACTGGGTAGGCAACTAGCTGACCGGGACCATGGAACGTTATTAGACCACCTGGAAAGAATAACATAATAAAAGTCGGTCAATATTTGTAACATGTTTTTTCTTTTTTGTCACTTGATGATAAGCGACATGCTTGTCCATAACAGTTGCAGTACCACTCAGGGCTTTAAATCACAAAGATCTGAGGGCACTGCCACTGCGCCTGACACCCTGAGCCTGATACACTTCAAAACTGGAATGTAGTAATGCTCACACTGTAAGTTGGACACTCTTCTTTTCTGTTCTACTGCTACTAAATCTATGTTGCGAGTTAATTTCTCTTGAATTGGTACTCATAGTAGAGGTAATTCTCTAGTTTGAGAACAAGGTCATAATCAATTATTTTTAAGTAAAATTACTCTACTAGTTAGTTATAATTATTAATACAAAAATCTAACAGTCAGAAAAAAAATCCTAAAAATTTAGGTCCGCTGGTTCGTTCTATGGCTTAGTTGGTATAGCATTTGGCACGGTATGCTAGAAGACGTCAGTTCAAATCCGGCCAGATTGAAGGAATTTTTTCTGAGTGTTCGATCTCTGTATTAATAATTATAACAAACTAGTGGAGTAATTTCACATAAAAATAATTGATTATCAATTCTATAAAAATTTAAACATAGTTGCTTATGTAAAATGCAAATATTTATATTAAATAAAACATGTGAAATTATATTTTACAAATTAACAAATATTTGTCGTTCAAAATTTCAATTGAATTTATTTCAGTAATTTTTTGTGGAATATTTGTTTTTCTTAGTAGAACGGCTAGCAGTTCACAACATCAAATTTAATATGGACGTAGTTAAACAAAATGGATCCAATACACATCCATTAACTTTCGAGATATGGCAGTTTGAAGTTTAAAAGTGTTTCTCACTCGTTTTATTTTCAAAACTTATAAAGTCATGTAACTCCAGAGGCATTTCCTTATGTTTATATGTTGAATTTTTTGCTGATCTCAGAGGTTAGACGTTAAGAACCGTTTGGTACATACAACTCATTTTTTGATAATTTTGTGGATTGGGTCCTTTATGCTTAACTACATACATATGTAAGCTTGTACTCTTTTATATAGTACTTTAATTAATACTTGTGGAATAGCAGAACCTACAGAAACCTATAAAATTATTAACCCAAAAACTCAATACTGGTGAAATCAAAGGTCAAATCAAATCAAAATCAATCAAAATTTCATAGTCGATACATAATAATAAACAGCCTGTACGTACCTCTGTTAGTTTTTTTAAAATCTGCACCCAAGGCTTTTAATCTATCAATCTCTTGTTTAGAAGTATCATCTCTGATACCTACAGTGTAGACAGGCTTGTGTTCCACCAATAACAGAGTGTCGTGGTTATCGTCCTGGCTGTGTCCTTTCAGCATAGAATCTAAATGTCTCCTAGACAATGTATGCTGGATCTTGAATGCCGTGTCATATGAAGTCAGACCTAGTTTCCACACTTTTACTACACTTGGTGTCTTCATTTTGTTGCAGTAATGACACATGAAGAATTTGTATGTACTATAACTAAATTTAAATTTAAAATAGCGTTTTTTTTGTATCAATTTTTTTACCTATTTTAAAACATGAAATTAAAAACTAAACAAATGAATTTTCGAAATGACATTTTTGGAATTTTAAAAGTTATGTCACTTAAATATAAATGGTAGAAAGTCCAGTTTTAGGATAGCAACATTCACCTGTTGATTTATTTTAATGTTTCTCATAAACATAAATTAGGTATTATTTAAATGTAATGATTGTTTATTTATATCTCATAGTTCTTCGTATGATCCTTTTTTTAAAGTTCAGTATTACGTTGTTAAAAGTTTCCGCATTTTAAAAACAAAACAAGTCGCTGAAACGTTAACCGCGAAAAGCCATGAAAAAAAATGAAAGTTTGTTGGTTTTTTATTTTATTTGGCTAGAGAATCTTGAATATAAGACCATTTTCTACTTGAGATTTTGAGCTGCCTAACGATCTTTGCAAGCGCACCAACCAATCGATAAAATGTCAAAACACCTCTCGCGTCCCAGAAGTACATTGCTGTGATATAAAATCGCATTAAAACACTGAAAACTATAATTAAACATCAATTTTATGTATTTACTGACAATATTGAATACTGTATGACTAAAACAAAGGCACTCTCTTTTATAACAATTGATAATAGTGTAAAATATTACATTTTGTTCGACATCACTCAATTCGAATTAGAATTTAATTACAACAAATATTTTGTATTCAATGAATCGGTTTTAGAATATGGATAGCGTAGTGAATTTATCAAATTTGCCTCGGAACTGTCCAGTTACAATCGTTAATATGTCTAATTCATCAAGTGAAGACGTGAGTGTGTGCCGAGGGTGTCTCGCTTTCGATGCGAAATTGTACAATTTATTCGATACAGGACTAGCTGGAGACTTTGAAGAGCTTGTCAGAACTGGGGTAAGTGTTTACGTCATAATATTTCGACTACATTTCACTACATACTCAAAAAACATTTTTAATTAGGCAGTGAACAAGCTTTATTCCCGCTTGTTGTTATAGCGCCCATTTCTGGTGATATAAGTATAAATTTAGTGTCTTTGTGTTGCTACGTACTTCTGAGAGTGACAGCCATGAGACATTCTGGGAAGGATCCCTAGAACATTTATTCTTTAACTGCCCCCAATAAGCTTCCCGTTTCATGACCTCCTTCCCAAAACCCCAAGCATCCAATAAATATGAATTTTCTGGCCAGTGGCCCACTCATAGATGGCACATGGTATTAATTAATAAAAAACAATTAAAATTTAGAAGTAACATAATAAGATGATATTATTACTTAGGTATGTTTCTCCATCTTTTTTTAAAAGCTTTTAGTATAGTTTTGCAATTTTTACCTGCACATTTTAATATAGATTCATGAATGGTATTGAAGTGAAAAAGAGCGGATGCTAGCAGCACATTCGTGGTGCATTAGCTAGATCTGTACACACCTCTACGACGGTTCCACTATTTCAGTGGCTACAGTGTATATATTTGACCGAAGATTCTAGTAGAAATTGGTATGGCGGTACTATCTGCCCAGGTGGATCCTGCATAGTCAAAGAAGCCTATCACCAGTATCCCTGACACCTGTTTCATGTTCCTAATAAATCAGCATATCACAGTACAGTGTGGGAATAAATATCTTGGAGCATCAAGGTTGCTTCCTGAAGTCTAGCAAATCCAATAGGGTGCTAAGATTATTTGAGGAGCTTAGGTGGCACAAGTATAAAGCTACACCCACTAAACTCCGAATAGGCGCTGTCACATACAGCCTCCATGCATGACCAGCATTCAGCCTTCATGGATGACCAGACGGACATGCTGCAAAGACAGATTACACTGACAGGTATTCGAAATGTTACCGACTCTTGGACAAAAGATGATGATCAACCTTCCTTTTTTTGACAAAGGACAATGATGTAGTTTTGATTAAACCTCAGATGCGAGCATACAACTTCTCCTGACTGAATTGTACAGACAGATCGTACACTATGACGTTGAGTTGAGGAAGCCAGTTTTTACACCATACCAAATTAATGTATTTCAGGCCTACCAATTCGATAGCCTCCCGCAGTTCATCTGTATCTACTGCGCTGGTCTGCTCTTGAAAGCCTCGGCGTTTCGTAAACGGTGTCGTGCTGCCCACACTGCCCTGGAGGGCTTATTGGCTTCCCAAGATACGGTATGTATAAATTAATTAATTGCTCGTCTATCTAAGCCAGCTTTCTTGGGCTAAAATGGCCCGATCCTTCGAAAGGTAACTGATGGGAGTCCATCAATAATTCTTCTTTATCGTGTTATCGATCCTTGGACTGTGGACTGAAATTTTAATACTTTTTTTATCAAAAAATCATTCTCAAATGTTTGTGGGATTACATCTATTTGCCAAGTTTTATTGGAATCGGTTAACGGAAAATGGGTGAAATTGAATAATCCGGATTCATTCTCTTATTTATTTATTTATTTATTTTTTTTTATTTATTTATTTCAGGCAACTAGGACCCATAGATACATACCTTACAGACTAACATACATATAATATAACAATAATATAATAAAACAATAACAGAAATATTAAATAAATACCTTACGGACTAATCATAAATACAATATAACATGATAATATACATATGTTATTTGGACAAAAAAAAGCATCGATACCGGTTCACAAATGACGGTACTCCAACTTCTTATCGATGGTGTACAAAATGCCAGAGTAATTGCGCATTATGAACACAAAAAAATCAGTCGAATTGAGAACCTCCTCCTTTTTTGAAGTCGGCTAAAAAGGTAAAAATCCCGTCTTATATCAAGATGGCGCTGATCAATAGCCTGGATCAATTATTATATAGCCTTTTGAAGCTGAGTTAGGGATATTTTACATTACAATTTTCCTTTGTATTTTAAATTTTTACATTATATCCCTTAACTCAGCGTGCCTCTTGGCATAGGCCTCCTCCAGATCCCTCCAGTGTGCTCTGTCAAGAGCTGCTCTTCTCCAACACGGTCCTAGAGTCAACTTCAGCTCATCCTCCCATCTTTGGTGCTGACGCTTTCCATCACGCGGGTACCAATTGGTGACTAGCTTGCTCCATTTTTCCGGCCCTCGCAACAGATGCCCAGTCCATCTCCATTTTATATGTGTATCAATTATTTTGGGTATCAATTGACTCCTCTTTAATATGAAACATAAGTGGGCTGTTTTTTTCCACCTTACCTATTTCTGCCGCCAAGCAGTAATGTCAGTGTTACTATGTTCCGGTTTTGAAGCGTAAGGGTGCTGTTAATTTTTAGGGTCGGTTAGTTTTCCGAATACACTCGCATCGGGCCCACGCCTTTTGTCCCGTCACTTAATATTAAATATATATATTTAAAAAAACACTTTTTCTATAAACTTAAGACTGATCCGTAATTACTCCACTAATTCTTATACTTAGTGACAGAATTATATAATAATTAAAAAAAAGACTTCAAAAGTAAGTGGAATTTATTTGCCAAGTTTTATTGAAATCGGTTACCGGAAAGTGTGCGTAACCAGATTCATCCCCTAGTTTGCCACCCATAGAGGTGGAATATTTCCTTCAAATTCAAATGGGCCAATACTCAGGTATTCTTTCCAACAAGAAATAATCATCAAATTCAGTTCACAAATGCTATTGCAATCGCGTAACATAAACCCCCCTTCCTTCTTCCTTCCTTCCCCCCTTCCTTCCTTTTTGAAGTCAGTTAAAAATGTGTATAGTACAGTAGGCCACTCGAAGTATATTATATGTAAACGAAAGCGCGGGCACTAGCTAGTTATTAATGCAAAGGTCTAACACAAAGATTCCTTCGATCTGGCAGGATTCTAACCAGTGTCTCGGTGCCTTACCAGGATGACCGCTCTACCAAATGAGCTACAAATGGAGACAGCAGACCTTACAAATTTTTGTATGCGTTTGTTGCAGAGCTTTTTTTGAACGTAACTAACTTATTGTTTCTTTTTTTTTACAGTTAACAAGGCAATCAATAACTACCATAGATAGAACTGCAATTAAACAAAATTTAATAAAAACGCGAACACAAACTTTATCGTACATACCTAAGAATCAAAATACAATAAACGATGATTCTTTAACAATAATAAGTGACAGCAACCACGAAAGGCCAAAGCGGAAACGTAAAAGTGACGTCACTGAAGATGTCAAAACGGACGTCAGTGATAAATTGACATTGGAAGGTTTTGAATCAGATACTGAATTGGTGCCAGATGTCAAAGAGGTTTTCGTAGATACTTCCAACACTGTTAATAGCGATATAACAATTAAAAACGAAGATAATGACATCGAAAGTGATGATTTTCGATTAATTATTGATTCAGACTACGATTCAGACACTAAGTTAAATTTATTGATAAAAAAAGAAGACACAAAGAAAATTAAAACAAAATCCAAAGTAACAAAGACAAGAAAAGTTGTTAAAAAGAAAAAAAACATACCAATAAAGAAAGAAAAAGAGATACAAAACAAAGAAAAGAAAAGCAAAAGAAAGAAAGAAGAATATCCGGATGAAATAAAAGAAATATATAGGTTGCCAAAGAAAAACAGATTAGAACAATTTTCTAAAGAATATGAAGTCGATATAGTTATGTTGAATAAGGTAAATAACATTATATTATAATTAGTAGTAGAGTTCCTCGTGAAATTTCGAAGGGTAAGGGTGCTGCTGAATAAATGAATATTAGACAGCATCACATACGTTGCTGTGATCCCAAAGTAAGTAGCTAAAGCACTTGTGTTATGGAAATCGGAAACAACGACGGTCCCACAAACACCCGGATCCGAGACAATATAGAAAAGTTTCTACATTGACCCGGCCAGGGGTCGACGGAGGTGACGACACCGTGAAAACCGGTGTGTAAACGCCTCTATTACGGAGATCGCTGATGAAAATACTGGCACACACGGGTTATATAGCTTTCATTCGCTTTCTAATCTTTGCGATCAAAACTCTGATTGGACAGTAGTGGTCCTAACACGGACCCCTGGTGTACTCCGCACATCATTGGGCGCTCGGCGCGCCTCCTTTCCCTCGTCTGGTAGAGCATCACCCTGTCCTCCAGGTAGTGCTCCACCAGACGGCTGAGGTACCTGGGGATCTCGTGGTACCTCAGCACCTCCCTGATAACAGCGAAGGGGAGAGTGCCGAAGGCGTAGGCTATGTCCAGGGACACACTGTTAGGGGTAGGCAGGTCGCTTACCAACAGGCGCACGACTCATTCGTCCTGTCACTGGCGAGTCGATACGACCTCAAATGGTTTTAGTTGATTCTGCATAACAGTCAATGTGTTGAATCAATCACTTAGAAAAAATATTTATAGTACAATTGAGGATATACACTGATAAAACATATTTTAATTTACCTCGACGTTTCGGACGTATTGCAACGTCCCTGGTCTCCAAGGGACTGAAGAGGCGGGTCAGCATCTTCTAGCCGTGCGAGTTTTCTAACTACCCGCAATTGATCTTCATTTAAAATCAAGTGATATACACTTATTTAGTATACAGTGTGAAAACACGATTCCTAAAATTTTTCATGATGGGAAAAAAAACCGCAAACTTACCTCGAAATTTTACAAGAAAACTGCTGTATTTAATAGGCCCTTTCGTTTGTAAAAAAGAAATTTTGAAATTAAACCAGTGTCTCTGACGCTCGCTTATTAGTAAAGTAAAAAATTGAATTCGAGGTAGTCTCGTTAAAAACATTTTGATTTAAGGATCAGCAAATAGCAGAATTAGAAGAAAAGAAAAACAGTGATAAGTATAACAACGCGTCGTTAAAATGTGATAAATGCTACAAAGGGTTTGCTATGGAGAAGAGCTTTAAACAGCATATGGCTAGACATGATGTGGTAAGTTTCTTTTTATATCTCAAAGTCTATTATAATTATAAACCGAATGTAAACCAACCACAAAAGTTCGTGGTATTACATCTATTTGCCAAGTTTTATTGATTGGTTGGCGGAAAGTGCGCGAAACCGGATTTATCTGATGTCTTGCCACACTTAGAGGTGGAATATTCCAATTGAAATGGGACCAATACTGAGTTAGTCAGTTAGTAGCAGAAGATTTCCTTGTGAAAGAGTTCGTCCAGGGTAGTACTGCCACCTTACTTATTTCTGCCGCCAAGCAGTAATGTCAGCATTACTGTATTCTGGTTTTAAAGTGTACTGTTGCTGGTGAAATTACAGGCACATGGGTCTTATCAACTTATGTCTCCGGGTGACGGGCGCAGTGGCAATGCCTCTCAGATCTTTGCAATTTAAAGCTCTGAGTGACATTGCAACTGTTATGGACAGGCGTGTAGCTTACCATCAGGCGCACGACATGTTCGTCCCGTCACTTGTTATAAAAAAAATTCTCTTTCCAACAAAAAAGTATCATCAAAATCGGTTCACAAATAATCGCATAACATATACAAAAAAAAACAGTCGGATTGAGAACCTCTTCCTTTTTTGACGTCGCTTAAAAATGACCCCCTGTGCACCACGCTACGCCACTGCCCATACTGTCTAATTAAAAAAACACACTGTATGTTTCTACGTGAACTCAATATGTCTAGAGCCGCGGCGAGTTCGAGTGTGAGATCTGCGGGTTTCGCTTCAAGAACCGCCGCCGAGTATTGGCGCATGCGCGAGAGTACCACGTGTTCAACTATACTTGCAAGATTTGCAAGAAGACGTACAAGAACCCGTAAGTTTTATATTTGAAACTAGCTGTTACCTGATACTTCGCCTTCGTTACTATTTTATAGTATAAGTTATATGTCTATTCTACAGGCATTGGGCAAGGTTTCACTACAAAATGCATCAAGGGGAGAAACCGACGTGTAAGCAATGCGGCGAACAATTCGCGTAAGTTATTTTTTCTTAATACATAATGTAGAGGTATGTGGGGGAATTTGATTGTGCGCCTGTTAACTGGCAATCGGTACTATCTCAATTTTGACAACTTTACAGGTGAAGAAAAAAAATGTTTGCGTCATTTATGTAGCATCTGGTTTATTAAATAAAAATGCGTAGTTTTTAAATAATTTTATTTCACATGTATTATTAATAAACCAGGTGCTATATAAATAATTGTTTCTTCATCCTGTAAAGTTGTTAAAATTGAGATAGTACCGGTTGCCAGTTCACAGTCGTTTAACTGCTTCCGTGGCCGAACCAGACCCAGGTTCGATTCCTGGGCCGGGAGAAATATTTGTAAGGCCAACATGAGTTTGGGTGTAATTTGTGTAGGTTGTCTATGTGTGTGTCCATGGCACCCGCGACACAGGGTTTCCATAGTGCAGTGCCATGTTGAGTGTGTGCGTTATTATAATTATTATTGATAATAAAAGTCATAATTTAGACAATATAAAATGAAACAATTTTTCCGGATTTAAATCGCGTATATTAGTTTTTTCAAACAAACCGTTTCGGGCCCCTTACAGGTCCCGTGGTCACGGTTGACTGAGGTTTTTTTTTTTTTTTTTTTTTTTTTTTTATTATTTTTTATACAAAAACTTAAACATATTACAAGCAGCTGTAGCTCAAAAACCACTAAGGGTTTATCTGTCCACAGCGATTCTCTCTAGCCAGTAAGTACTTCCTTAATTTATTTTTACATTATCCTTCCACATATAGGTGGTACAGTCATCAACCAGTTAAGTCTAATATTAACGCCAACCACCCTATTTTTTCACTATAGTTACAAAAATTATTAATTAAATACCTTGTTTTTCATTTTACAAAAAAAATAAAGATAGAACAAAAAAAAATTGAAGAAACAAATGTACGCGATTTAAATCCGGAAAAATAGTTTCATTTCCTATGTGTATCAGAATGGCTGGTCAATTATTTTTTTAAATTTCTCAGAATATACCTAAGGTAGCAATGATTTAGAAAAGGTACCAAATAGTACATAGTAATGCTATCTTTTTATTTGTTTTATTTATGTACTAATTTCTTCCGTGCTCTCACTTGCACGCTATTGCCCGCTTACAACCTTAGCTCTCACTTGCCCTGGGTTGGCTGGAAAAGATCTCTTTTAAAGATAAGTCCACATTTGCTCACTTTCTGTTAATCTAATATATCTGTTGTATTTATTTGGTGCAATAAAGTATATATATAGTAGCAAGTAGGTAGCAATTCTTGAATATACACTCAGTGCCAGATGCCACAGGAGACCAGCCATCCTGACGGTCACAGTGAGGAGGGCCAAATAGATTTCATTACCCGTGTAACATCTCACCACGCACTGGAAGGCTTTCTGTGGGGTCGGCCCCTTATTAGATGGACGGATGACCTGGTAAGGCCTATGTTGAGCTGTGGACGTCTTCCGGCTGATATAATGATGATGATTTATAAAAATAAATAAAATAAAAAGTGTTTATTGAAGTTCAAGTGGCATAACAAAACGGAGGTTGAGACCATCCTATTAAGTAATTAAATACTTGTGTCAGGAGGTCTCGCCCTTCCTTAACTAAAACATACATCATCAAAGAACTTAATACAATAAAAAAAAATTAAAAAAAAATAAAATAAAAAAATTATCAAAGTCAAACTCAAATAATCATTCATTCCATTGGTAAAACTTTTACACTTGAAAACGTCATTTTTTAAGCTACTGCTCGTTCACTACGCTGACCTCCCTGAGAAGAACGAGCACGAAACTCGAGGGATTGCTCTTTTCAAATAAACTTAAATGCTATGGAATAACACTTTGAATCATAATTGCATGGAATCTAGACTCATATTGTCTTTCCATACATCTTTATCTAACACATACCCTTCAATTTAGTAATAAGAATTTTCAATTAAAATACTTTTAATTTAAGTTTTAAATTTGGGAAATGCTCCAGAATCTTATTGTAGAAACGTATACAGTTCCCCATAAAAGAGTAGTTTACCTTAGTTTATTTATTTATTTAAAAGGAATACCAACAACTCAAAACAAGATTAAATAACAATAGTAACAACTGAGCACCAATTACGGGACAGAGCCGTAATTGGTGATCAGGTTTTATGAAGATGGAGTAAAATGACAGTTCATTGCACAAAAGTGTTGCCAGCTTCAAAGCGGCTAGTGATTACGGCCGATAAATATTCTATCGATTATCGACTGTATTTTGGTTACCCTTAATCATTAGAACGTCGTAACATTCGCAATTCAAACATTTTTGACAAAATTTTACCTTCTGACAATCTATCCATAAAACTGTCGACAACAACTACATGACTATTTAAAATTTTATGAAAATTGGCAACCCTGCAAATGTTTTATGTATCTATGTTCAAAAAAGACAGACTATACAGATGGCTCTGTGGAGCGACTTGGTGGTAGCAAGTGTTCGCGGTTTAACAATAGTTTTTCGGGTTTATTTCGTGTTCTAATCACTGTTGTGTTTTTGTATCCACTGTGTATTTGTTCGTGAAATTTATTGTGTAAATACTACTAACAAAATTCCCTAAAATGCTCTCGTAACCTACCGAACCCCCTGACCCCGGTGGTGTATTTGTCCTCCCACCCAAATGCTAATCGATTCCCAATCCCGGAAAAGGGCCCTCAACAATGAAGACTCCCTTCCACCCACAAAATCATTTATTGCGTCCCATTCCATTCAAACCACATTCACACATCCGGACTTCGAAACTGTGAAATCTTCTCACTCGAATACAGATATTGCTCCTTTCGTAATACATACGAAACTATATAGATTCTGACAAATAGAAATATAGTAAGGAACCTGATGAAAAACCAAATTTATTAGTTTTAATAACGTCTCTTCAGTAGGTTGCAATGACTTTTGCTTTTACACATTAAAGCTAACGGCCGCGTCGATGGCCCATCGGCCTCCGCGTCGATGGCCCATCGGCCTCCGCGTCGATGAATGTGGTGAATTCTTAGATAATGTGTGGTTATACAGGCACCCTTCCGTACTTCAACTCCACGTCCGCAAAGAACACGGCTCTGCACGGTGCCCCATCTGCAACATCGTTTGTGCCAAAGCCGCTTCGGTGCAACAGCATATTGCTTTAGTGCATAAGGTAAATGCTTGCTACGTTTATTTCATTGAATGTCATAATGTTTTTATTCTCACTACATTCGTATGACGGCGCACAGCAAACAACAAACAAACACATGGAAGAATTCGTGAGGTCTGCTAGTTCGTTCCGTGGATTAGTTGGCACAACGTCTAGCACCGTTTGCTGGGAGACGTTGGTTCGAATCCAACCGGATCGAAGTGAATTTTTTCCGAGTGTTCGATTTTTGTATTAATAATTTTAACAAACTAATGGAGTCGTTTCACAAAAATAGTTCAATGAAATAAGTCAAACACCGCGACATTTACATAAATATAAAAATTGCAATTATCTATGCGACATCTGCAGTCAGTTGCTGGTAGCTGTAAAGGTACCTTATCAAATTCAATATAGTCTATTGTGTTTTGTGTAGAATAGAAAAGTGGACTAGAAAGGTAAGAGAATGGTTAACAAGAGGAAAAGAGGTCGTCCATTTAAAATATGGTCCGACGGCTTTAAAAAAATAGCTGAACGTTAGCTGAGCACTAGGCTGACAAAGGCCAGAGCCAGATGAATAGAGCTGGGGGAGGCGTATACTTCTTCAAGATGCACTGATGCTATAGATTGAGTAATTTATAAATATAATTGTCAATATAATTCTATTGTCAGTATAATATAGGTTAATAATTAAAAAAAAATGTTTTGTGAAATTACTCCATTACTTGGTCGTAATTATTTATACAAAGATCGGACGCTAAGATTTTCGATCCGGCTGGATGCGAACCAGCGCCTTCAGCATGCGGCTGACGCTCTCCCAACTGAGCTACGGAACGAATCAGCAGACTTCATTAAGTCTGATTTTTTTCTAAGTGCTTGTTGCATCTTTGTTTTTGGTTACTGCCACATTATCAATTTCTGCCGCCGAGCAGTAATGTGATTACTGCGATTTAAAGCTCTGAGTGGCACTGCAACTGTCATGGACCGGCTGTGATGTAGCTTACCATCACGCGCACGACTCGTTCATCCCGTCATTTGATGTAAAAAAAATCAATGAAACTTTTTCGTCACTCAGTCCGGTACCTTTGCAGCTGCTAGCAGCTGACCAGTGACGGCGCTTTGAATATCACGTTAGAAAAAAAGAAGAAAGAAAGAAATATTTATTCCATAAAGAAACAACACAGCACACATACATTTAACAATTAACATGACTATAACGTGTAAAAGAAAGGGGAAAAGAACAACAACAATTAGATAATTCACACAAATAACACACTAACAGGGTTATGATTATTATTTATATAAAAATCGAACACATAGAACAACTTATTCGACCCGATGATATTTGAACCCACGACCATACTGCAGCGTAGCTCTTACCAATTGAGCTACGGGTCAAGTTGTCGAGTTGTCGAAATTCTCCTATGTGTTTTTGTTATAGGTCCATATATAGACTGGGAAACAGGGTCTCTCTTAAAAAAAATGTCAAAGAAATTAATATTCTAAAGGTAGCATCACAGTTTATTTTTAATTGTATGTTAAATGTCCATCAAAATATTACTGTATTTAAGAAACCCAGCGATATGCACAAAGGTAATACTAGAAATAAAGATGCCTCATGCCTCATTTCCGATTGCAAAAAGTTCGTATTACATTTTTACCATTTTATAAATTTAAGACATAATTATGTTAAAAATAAACTTCTGGCGAGAGGGTACTATATTGTTGATGAGTACATGAACGATAAAAATGCGTGGAGTTAATATTGTATCGTTTTGTACTTACATACTTACCATTTTGTATGAGTTGTTTTATTTACTTGACTTGTCTTTTTTAACCGACTTTAAAAAAAGGAGGAGTTCTAAATTCGATTGTATGTTTTTTTGTATGTATGTTACGCGATAACTCCGGTATTTGTGAACCGACTTTCAGGTTTTTTTTTGTTGGAAAGAGGGTACCTCCATAGTGGTCCCATTTCATTTTGAAGAATATCATTCACCTCTAAGGGTGAACTGATCACGCATGAACATTCATTTTTATAAATAGCGCCTAATTGCTATTCTCCAATTCAAGGCGTTTTTCTCTGTAATATACTTTGGGTAGTGAGAACCGATTTTTATTATCTCCAGTGTCAAGTCCTGTATAGTGGCGAACTAGGGGATATTTCAATAAAACTTGGCAAATAGATGTAATTCCACGTACTTTTGAGGTCGGTTTTTTAATACTCTGTATTGTAATCACTGGTGTGATTTTGACTGTTCAAAAGTGCTTGTGAGTCAGGCTTCTTGAAATTTTTTTTATTATTATTATCTATTTTAGACTCTCGCCTGTCCCAAGGCCTAAAACATTAATTTTGAATTTTTAAATGGAGAGGCGGTATTTCCCGGCAATAGCACAGTCGGCTGGGTTCAGGGACTCAGGTACAAGAACCGGCGAACAATACGTACCATATCGAGCAGGACCGCCTTCTGCATTTGTGCTGGAAGCGACACGCCACAGGAATCCAACCGCCTCAAGCTGTTAGAAAGGCTGACTGGAACCCATTTGCGGACAAAACAATTGGGGTTATTTCAGTGGAGGCCACATCACACTTGTCGGTGTTCTCGTGCGTCAGGTCGAGATACTTCCGGCGTTTGTCGGTTTCGACTTTCACGAGACCCTCATCAAGCGGGTTGGTAACGTCCACAAGAAATACCCTCGACTCCGATCGATCCAATTTATATCTTTGTTATGATTTTTCGGCATACCTCTAGTGACATCTAGTGATAGATTTTAGAACCTTCTTCACCGCACCCTTACGGTTACTAGCGGCTGACTTGAGATGTCGTTTTGAATATCAGGATGTTTTACTATACTTCGTTTCAATCCATTTTGAACAACATGTAAACAAACAAGTCGCTGACCCGACCATAGACGGTTTAGTGATAACCAATTGTAATGCCGACTACAAATCGATTAATTGATTTAATTAATCGATTTGTTCAGTTGAGTCATACTACCGGTTTTTTTTACATACATGTATAAGCATATTTAAAATTTCCGAAATCTGAAATCCTCCTTCAAATCCTAACACATAGATACTCGTTCGATTGCTATTGAAATATTTGATTTACTAATCGATTACAAAAACACTAATTGAATGAACCGAATGTTTTTTTGTACAACACTATGCAACCATAGACAAGTCATAGATGTGTAGATGAAAAATAACCTCACATACAATTTTACGATGCTATTCAAATAAATATTGTTGGAAAAAGCGATGAGATATCAAGTCGAAATCTTCGAAATATACGTGAAAGTGTTACTTATTCGATTCATTGAGTGATTGCTTTAGAATTTTAACCAAACAGTTTTGTTTTCTTGTTTACTGCAGGTGCAACAGGTGTGCTGTGAAAAGTGCGACGTGAGATTTGAATCGCAAGAAGCGCTGACGAGGCATCTGGAAGATTCCACAGACAAAACATGCAGTAAGGATAAAAAGTAAGTGACACTTTGTAGTCTAGGTCACCGGTGTACACATGATACACAAGATGAACACTTCATTTGACGTTTGTCATAGGGATGAGGTAAAGTCGATAGGTTTTGGTGTATTTGATTTTTTTTATTATACCAACAGACGGGACATACGGGGATAGCAAGCTACACGCCTGTCCATAACAGTAATGTCCCCTGTAACTGTCCCCTGTAATTTCACCAGCACCCTTACCCTTCCAAACCGGAACGCAGTAATGCTCACATTACTGCTTGGCGGCAGAAATAGGTAAAGTGGCAGTACTTCTCTGGACGAATTCTTTCATTCATTCAATCATTCATTTCACACGGAGCTCTACTGCTGCTAAAATTATAATAAAATTGATGAAAATTTTTTTTTATGCAAATCGACTCGGTTTCATGGAGGGATCAATTAATTGTATGCGATGAATAAAATCGGGACAGTCGAAGTTGGCCAAATTTCATGCTATATAAAATGAATAAAATTGACAAATTTTTTTTGATGCTGACAGACGCAATCTCTTACAGTATTGGTTTTATTGTATTGGAAGAAAATAATTGGGACAGCAGAAAAAGTGTATTTTGTATGATATATTCATTATTAGCATGTTATATACATATATACGTACATAAGATAATTATAAGTGTTATTTTAGTCTATTTTATTTTGCAACACACACATCGGTCGCTCAGGGCTCATTGAAAACCAGCACCACAGTCAATTACGGCTGTGGCATAAGCTGAACGAAGTCCTTTTGCGTACGCCACAACCGCACACATGACAATACAACATTTGTAGTCGTTATATTTAGTTTTTTTTAATTGTTTTGTCTTGTTTTTTTTTATATTTTAATTTTGTTTTGCTTGTCTTAGTGGTATCAATATTCTTTTTTGTATCTATGCAATAAATGTCTATTCTATTCTATTTCAGGCCGTGTGGCACTTGTGGCGATAGCTTCTCAACGGAGGAGTCGTTCGAGAAACATAAACAGTTCTGCACGCCGCCACCGCCCCCGAAGAAGGATTACAAATGCCAACAGGTAATAGCAACGTACCACATTTAATAAAACGAAAGGGTTTAAAATATCAATTATATGTATTATTAATTTTAATAAATAATTATACCTTAAAAAACATTCATTTGATCCGGCTGGATAAATGAATGAATTTTTTTTAGTGTTTCTATCTTTGTTACAATAATTATAACAAACTAGTGGACACAAAAAATAATTGAATACAAAGTAATTGAATATCATGATAGTAAAACATCGTGACATTCAATAAAAACTTAGAAATTATAATTATACCTTTTTTATAAAAAAAAATAAACAATGTGACAAAATGTCATAGATTTCCCATAGATGGCGCTACGGCTAAAAAGTCGTTGAAAAACCAAATACAAAGATACGACAAGCACAGTGTTCGATCTTTATATTAATAGTTATAAAAAATAAACAAACTTCAAAATTTTGTGGAATTACATCTACTTGCCAAGTTTATTGAAAACGGTTAACGGAAAGTGGTTACAATTCAATAAACCTGATATATCCACTAGTTCGCTACCGTTAAAGGTGGAATATTTTCTTTAAATTTAAATGGGACCTATACTGAGATACCCTCATTCCAAAAAGAAAGAATCATACTCGGCGAATTGGGAACCTGCTGCTTTTTAAGTCGGTTAAAAAATAAAACCGAAGAAGACGTTAGCTCGAATCCAGACGGATCGAAGGAATGTTTTCTAAGTATTCGATGTTTGTATCAATAATTATAACGAATTGGTGAAGTAATTTCACAAAAATAAATAATTGTATATCATGGTGGTCAAACATCGCAACATCACTGGTCATAGTCAACTGCTGGTAGCTGTAAAGGTGCCCGGATGAGTGAAGAAAAAGCTTACATAGATTTGTCACAGATGGCAACGGCAAAAAAGTCATTAAAAATCAAAAAACAAAGATGTGCAACAAGCACATAGGAAAATTCGTAAGGTCCGCTAGTTCGTTCCGTGGCTTAGTTAGCATAGCGTCTGGCACGGTTTGCTGGAAAACGCTGGTTCTAATCATTGACTTACAAATAAATGGACGACGGGTCTAATACAAAAACCACGAAAAAAATGTCCCAAGTCAACCTATTTAAACGTAGTGACATTTACAGGAATATGAAAAAGTTAAAACGTTGAATTTAAATTGTAATGTCATCGCAGTACTGTCTAATTTTGCTTGCTTCGCTGTCAGTCGAACAAACGAAGACTAAAGCGTGAATGACGCTCTGTATACGATTTTAACGCCCTATAAGTTAGGACACTTTTTAGCGCGGACCCGACGTCCATATAATTGTAAGTCAATGGTTCTAATACGAATCTTTGTATTAATAATCTTCTGGGCGTGTCGACTCTGACGTTTATATTTGTGAGGGCCAGCACTTGGCAACTGAAATAGCATTATCAGTGGCGTTCTACAGGTCCTTGCGTGTGCAGGTGTAGGGACACGCAGGGCAGGACAAAAGATGTGAGAGATACCATACGGACATGCGCTCTCCGAGCTGTAACCCCACCCGTGCATGCACTCCTTACTTCGGCCGACTTGGGCTCGCAGCCTATTTACTTCCAAGTTTGCCAAGGTAGATCATGCCCAGGAGGGAGGTGTTCCGATAGCGGGATGAGTGACGCCGTGGGGTATCTCTCCTTCCAGAGACTTATTCGGGCCGGCTTAGTTTTCCCGTCTAGAAGGATTAATAATTATAACAAATAAAAACGATTTTGTTCCAGTGCTTCCGCCCCTTCGCGTCAGCACAGAGCCTACGTAATCATATGAACTACTACCACAAACGGGACCCTGTGACCAACAAGTGCATGGAACCGGGAATGAAAAAGCGCGGGCGCAAGAAAGGAAGCAAAGTCGACAAGACCGCACCTCCTAAAACAAACTACGGCTATCCAACGCTTATGTGCGAGATTTGTGGGAAGAACAATTTCAAGGTCAGTCACATGGATCCAGTATATAACCAAAAATAGAGATGAAATGTCATTTTATATGTTTGAAAACTATTCTGCCAAATCATTACGGTGATAACTGCGCTCCGATTGGCCAGCCCGAATTCGAAACAATTGACGGGTGTCGTAATCGACGTGTTTAACTTGAGCTTTGCTATAATGGACGAAAATTGAAAAATCAATTATTTAATTACCGATGAAATGTGATTCCGTTTGTTTTGTAATTAGATGTTTTGCTGTTTTTTCACACAACCGAATGGAACAACCCCCATAATTGAAGATATTATCTTTATTACAATAAATACAGAATATTTTTGATGTTGCGCTTGTGTTATTCATTTTATTAATTTTATGCGGAGAGTGGGTGGAAAAATTAACTGCATGAAAAAATATTCAACACAAGCGCAGCTGTTTTGTAGGATTTAATTTTCACACATTAATTTACTTCCATTTTTATTGTTAATTTATGTTTTATTGTAGTTCAAATCCGCGCTTCGGGTCCACCAGAGCACGCATTCACGAGAGCGGCCGTTCAAATGCGACGTTTGCGACAAAAGCTTCAAGCTGCAGATGCACCTGAAGGTATATTCTTTTTTGCAAAAAGTCTCAAACTAGGGAGTCCTAATAAGGAATCTAATGGGTATGGGAAAAGGTTAGTAATTTTTAGAAGTTAGATTTGGGCTACGGACTTAATGGGATTTTCAAACTATTACAAAAGCGTTAGCTTTAAATTTTACTTAAAAATTTAAAAAAGAGATAGCAAAGTGTTGGTACAAAAGTTGATTGGCCCATGGAACCCATTATCACGGCGAATTGAAGGACCGATGGGGTTGTAAAGTTCGCCATTCAAGAACCTCGGGTTGGTGGAGTCGCTCCACCATAATGACCTGTGACCAGTAGCTCATTCACGCGTTTTAACTACTTACATTGATTTGGTTGTGTTACTTACAGCTCCATATGGCAGTTCACACCGGTGAGAAGAGATACGAATGCACCGTCTGCGCTAAGAAGTTTAGACAACATGCACATTTAGCGCAACACATGGTCGTAAGTGACTTTTTCTTTCAGTTTAATGTTATTTAACGCAACACATTGTCGTAAGTTACGTAACACATTGTCGTAACTAACTCAACACATTGTCGTAAGTGGCGTTTTAATTAATTTAATGTGTAATGTTTTGCCTTATCTATATCTGTCGCGAAGCAGTGATGTGAGTGTTACTGCGTTCGGGTTTTGAAGGGTTAAGGTACGAGATTTTTCAACTTATGTCTCCGGGTGACCGGCGCAGTAGCCGTGCCCTTTATATCTTTGTGATTTAAAGCTCTGAGTGGCACTGGAATTGTCATGTACAGGCGTGTCGCTTACCACCAGGTGCACAAATTGTTCCTCCCGTCACATCATAAAAAAAATACCGCTACATAAACGTATTCTCTGATAATAATTATTGTCTTTTCCTACCTCCAGCTTCACACGAACGAGATGCCCTTCTCCTGCGAGCTTTGTGGCAAGAGGTTCCGCTTCCAAGGAAGCCACTGGCAGCACATGAGAGCACATGAAGGAATTCATCGCGCTAGAGCAAACCCACGAAGCAAATATAGTTATAACATTGCCGAAGATACGTTTGACTCCTTATAAAATACAATACAAATACGTTTCTTATAAACGGCATTCAACCTGAGCCAACAAAAATCTTCCATAGTATAGAGACACTGCATACATCGCACGCACGCAAATTCATTGCTTAGTTTTTACAAGTACCGGCACGCTATGATGGCCGTTTTGACAGATTATAATAATGAGGTCAAATCTCAATTAATTACCGAAAAAAATATAATCAAATGCGAGTCGTATCTATAAGTTTCTAGATTTATAACTAGTCATCAAGTATATAACCAGAAATAGAGACGAAATGTCATTTCATTTGTTTGAAAACTATTCTGCCAAATCATTACGGTGACAACTGCGCTCCGATTGGCCAGCCCGACTTCTAAACAGTTGACGGGTGTCGCTAATGGGTGTCGTCAATTGTTTCGCTTCCAATCGACCAGTTTAACTTGAGCTTTGCTATAATGGACGAAAATTGCAAAATTACATATTTAATATTTAATTACCGATGAAATGTGATTCCGTTTGTTTTGTAATTAGATGTTTTGCTGTTGTTCCCACACCACCACCCCCCATTGTTAGATATATTATCTTTATTACAATAAATAAAGAATATTTTCGGAATATACGGAGACGTACACACAGGTCGGTTCTTGGCGCTGTACTATTTCAACTTTCTATTTTGTGATTTCAGCGCAAACGAGAGTTAATATTTAAAAGTGATAGTTCCCATTTGCTTGAAGAGTTTTTGTAGAATTTTGTCTCTCTTTCTGGTTATATACTCGATGATATTTTAACGATTTTTTGCGTATATTTGTTTCACGCGAATTAAAGGCAAAGCGAAAGGCCAATCGAATCATCTAAATCAGAAAGCCATAAACATTTTGTAATAATACTTACTACTTGGTACTTGGTGTAACGGGCTAGTGTCCGCAACTCGACGTCAAGGCGCCTATTTTGCGTGTATTTGTAATAATATCGTTCAATTTGAACAAAACTCGATTTGTTTAATGGGTTTTAACTCGATTTAAAGCGGGCTTTAATAAAGCGCCCGGGTTTTAACCCGGGCGTTTGTCCTTATCTTTTTGTAAGGTAATACGCCTGATGTTTTTATTAAAGCAATTATTACACTGTGTAAAACCGTCAATATTGCTATGAACTTTTTGGAGAAGTGTCCGTTAAGTCCAAAACATGTAAGCAACATTGTACATAATGAAAATTAGTTTGTGTTAGAAGGCTGTCGGGCGTTCAATGACAGAACCCAATCGACGTCGAATTTCGGTTGTTTCATTGAATAATTTCCAATGCTAGGTAAATTGCTTCGCTCTCTTTTCAAACAGGATTAGATCAGCAGATACAATACCGTGTATTATGAAAATCTGTTTCAATAAGGTTGCTACCCAAGTACCCAAGATCCCTACCAATAGCTGCGTATATTTTCTCCTAGTCTTTTCTGTTTTCTTAACTCTATGTAGAAGTTGGACCGGACTGCCTTATCAGATCAAAAGGCATTTGGAAAGCTCTTAAACCGTAGCTCCCAGAGTCAAAATTCGGTCGGATTTTTTAAATTTATTTTTTATATAATATGAAGTGACTGATGGTACGCTACACGCCTGTCCATAACGGTTGCAGTGCCACAACGCCCGTCACCCTGCATTGACAAATTCCATATGCCTGTAATGTCATCAGCACTCTTACCCTTCAAAATCGAAAGGTAGTAATGTTCACACTACTGCTTGGCGGCAGAAATAGGTAAGGTAGGCAGTACTTCCCTAACTTTTTCATTCTTTTTCCAATTCTCGCTAAATAGCAGAACCTGTAGAAGCCTCTAAAACGATTAAGCATAAAACTCGAGCGAGATCCAAAAAACGCCAATAAGCTAATAGTATAAGAATTATATTTATTGATATCTACCTGAAATTTATTTTGTCTCTGTAACGTGCAACATTGATTTGAAAATCATAATTTACAGAATACGTAGGTTTTAATTATTGTACAATTAATTTATAAAATGTAAATAAAGTATATGATAAGTAAATTGATAATATTACTTTTATTACCCTCATTTTTTATAATATATGGAAATCGTGGATGGAGATTAGATTGTGTAGTGGATGGCACAAAGTACGCGAAATCTATGCCCAGAGAACGGGCTGTGATGAAGTGTGGTGCCGCCCTAATTCAGTGTTAAGTATTTCAATTATTTCAAAAAATAGTAATTCAAATTTAACGAAGTGCCTGATTAAATTAAAAAAGCAAAAGTTTTTAGAGATCTATTGGTCATAATATAAAGAGC